AATGATGAGTCAAAATAGAAATAAATCCCAAGGGACTTAAATTCTATGGAAAGAAGTATATAGTTTAAGGTTCACAAAGCAGCGAGCATGAACTTACATTACAGTCAGGTAGCCTTGCTGCTACTACAGGAGATGACTCTGTCAAACCATAACCATTCTGCAAGTTTATGCCAATGGCCTGCAAAAATAAACGTATAATGAAATACAATGTACAAAATAAATATTCATCAGAATAATTATAGAGCATTCACAAACAGCTAACCTCAAAAAACTTGTCAACATGCAAAGGCATGCTTCCACCACCACTTATACCAGCCTGCAGTACATCAAAAAAATAAAATAAAAAGTTTCACCATTACTTGACAAGATTGCGCATTGATTTCCCTGACTTACTCATGAATGTCAGCTAAAGTATACAAGTTAACCAAGTAGGAAAGTTAAGTAGTGTATCAGACCTTTGAAATTCCAATTGAAGAGTGAATTTTACTGTATACAAGCGTGACGGCTAACAAATGCAAAGGCCACAAAAAAGCTGCCACTGTTCTAGCCCATAGCCAGTCAAAGAAGGAAACCAATGCTGAATGTTGAATATGAACTTGAGATAAGGCCTTTCCCTTCAAAACAAGAACAAATTTTTTTCAATATGCTACATGGAAATGGAAATGATTTTATTAGATGTAGCTGCCCTCGAGAGTGACGAGCAGGAGATATTGACAAAGCATATACTTGAGACTCTGAATGATGAGAAGATTCATGCAACGAAAATAAGATAAAATTTCATAAGCATCGTTTACATACAAACTTCTTCATTCACATTTTTGTTTCCATTATTTTGGTAGTTCAGCAGTAGGAATCAAACTTGCAACCTAGTGTTGAAATCATCAACAACTAATGAATCAAAAGCCCAAGCATTATCCTTAATTCACATTATCAGATATTAGTATAATTGCCACTAGTTTATTAGGCTAAAAAAGAAAACAGAGAGAGAAACAGATTTCAATAAATAGAACTGAAGGTTTTGACTTCCACACCTCATAAATCCTCTTGAACTCCATGAATGTCAAACTGATATTAATTAAAGCATAGGCAACAGTCTTTCTAGCCCTTGAACTGACAGATATTTGCTTCTGGATTCCACTACAGCAAAAGTGCAGCATAAGACATTCACACTTGTACTACACCCGGTAAATCTAATTTTGAAAATTCCAAATGAATCTATATGTGACTATAAAGATATCAACTAAGACAAAAATGGAAAAAAATGCCTAATAAAATAATCAAATATAAAAATTACAAAGATAAGTGTTTCATTTATTATTGCAATCTAACCTGTAAAAACCTACAAATTTCTGATTGGTCTTAATCTACTTCAAAAATTTTATTGAAATAGATAGCATGACTGAGAAAATCATAAATGTCACCTCAAATATAAAGTAAAGAAACATATGGATTCATGTCAAATTCCTAAGAATCAATCATTAAAGATATAATTCATTCTGCATATACAATGAAGATGATGGCTTTGGATTGATGTGGAAAAATCAAAAACACTAGAGTTCGTGAAATATATTACTGAAGAAGGAAAGGTGAAGAATGAGAGAGAAAAGAAGTATGAGCCTCAAAGCATACAAGATATATAAGTTATAAGTAGAAGGGCATATAAGGACAATAATACCTTATATCCAAAAGAACAAAGTAGAACAAAAGCCTTATGTAGTTTACATAAATACTTATAGAATACATTTAGTTTCCTACATGAACATAACATTCAAATGCGAAATATTTGGAAGCGTTGGGTAGCAGATAAGATTTTCCGCTTGAAGGAAAAATATTTGAATTAAGGCAATACAACATTGGAAATGTGCCATTCATAATCTTATACGTTGAAACCAATATCATCAGGCTATATCCTCATCGCCTCAAATCTGGTGGCCATATATTTAGCTGTGGCATGGATCCTATGAGAATCAAGAATTTGGTGTATCATGGTTAATTAACAGCACATAATACTGGATGTGCGAACAACACCAATGTTTAGTTTAAGAGATCATCCGGATAAATTGAGTTGAAGAAAATTGAATCCAAATTGAGATTTACATTATCAATTGATTTGAAACCTAAGTTTGAGAAAGCTGCTCACATTTACAGTGGATTAAATCACCATATGGCTGACAAAGTATTGAATTTGATGGTTTTTCGTGGTCCTTATGGTGATCCAATAACTTTCTAGCTATGGGAGTAAACAAAACAAAAATGTAACAGGAGGTTTCCATCCACGTATGTCCTTTTGCAAGAACGGATGTGAGCCATGGAGCCACAAGCAACAAAAGTCTATCATACTAAAAGACACAAATAACTGCCCCATTAATTCTATTTCATGATCTCATGGCGAGGTTGCTATTCGTAAGAATTCTACCTAATTTTTTCCTGTAAGGGCTTTCTCTTTCAACATTCCAATCAACTTCCTTGATCCTAGGTGTATTTCTCTTGTTATCATTGTAAATGTTAGCATATTCCAATAATCTAATTTTACCGGTCCATTTGCATGGCCCACTATATTGCGATGGACCCATAATATAACAAAGTAGAGGATTGTACTTGCGAAATGCTGATATGACAAGTTCAGATGATCCAGGCACTAACTATCAAAGCTCTGCATAAACGTGCCTCTTTGTTTGTGCATCAAATTTGGGGCACCTAATTTACAACCCAATCAGCAGAGCAAAAAATTGCATAGCACTCAAAACAGCATGACCTTCAATTTCCTGTTCCCCTTCAAAAGCGTACTTAGCTTTCAAAGATAGACAAAACCTTGAATCCTTAACAAAGTCAAGGACAGGCAAAATAGGATAAGTTATGTGAATTGCAAAGAGATCAAATGAGTAAAAACAAAAGTTTTTTAATCAGTATGTTAAGGTGAACGAATTCGATCTAATGCCATCCAATACCAATTTGAAAAGTGGCAGAATAATTGGCTACCGATTATCAATGAATGAGAACATAAATCAAAGTAATATAAAACACAATGTAATCACGATAAGCTCATAATGACTCAAGAAAAAAAAAAAAAAGAAAAACAGAAGGTCGCTTCAAGAAGTTCAACCAATAGTAAACATCGATTCATTTTCCCTCAAAACATACCCGTATAATGTTTCGTATACAAGTGGTACAGAAATCAGGTAGTGGGGCTGATACCGCTGTAAGTCCTCCTAGAAATATTTGTATTGATAACAAGTCACAGACCAATCAAAAGGAGAAACATAAGTATGAGGAACTAAGATATGCAGATATGATAAGGAGACATATATGGATACATAAAGCAGGATAAAATTAGGCAGTTTCCGAAATCAAAGACAGAGAAATGGTGCGAGCATCCTAACTAATATACAAATTATGATACATATATAGTATTGAGCAAAATAGCTAAAGCTTAGCTTCCACAATCAAGCACCTGAGAAAAATTCGTGCATAGATATACTTCAACAAATGAAACATGGTCAACACACCCTTTAATTGAAGAGACGATTAAGGAAAGTTCATGCCCAAATACCAAATGAAACATGGTTAATGCACATATTGATTGAAGAGACTAGTATTTCGGAAATGATTGCAACACTAGCTAATGTAACATAATGAAAATGCACCTTTTTAAATAAGGTTGGGAAAATTTGCTGAATAGTACCTTGAGGTTTTTAACAGTAGTGTAAACTTGCTCGATTCCACAAGTGAATATGAAATACTCAGCCGCTCTCTCATATACATGCCAAGGTGGAAGCATACTCAAGAACCTATCGCCAGGTATCGTAGGAACGATATCCCACAAGTTCTTTATCTAGAGGAGAACAATAATAATGTATCAAGAAGTTAACAACAGGTCATTAAATGAAAAATTCCATCCAGATATAGAGCAACACATGCCATAAATAAAAGAGATGTCAATCAAGGTTCAAGTACAGTTGCCCTTGTGAAGTCCATGAAAGTAACTAGTATCAAGATGATATTTAATGCCAAATTAAACAACTAGAACTGCAAAGTGCATACCATATAAGCAGGAAAATTGATCACTAGAGAGTCTAGAATAGGCAGTAACCAAAAGTATTCCAAAGCCTTGAAATTACAAGGAGGATGCTCAAATTCCAAGAATTAGAGTGAGAAATCATTGCTGGATTGAGAACTGAAATGATTAGAATATGCAGGTGGGATTCAACATCTAACAATGATAAAGAAGATGGCAAGAACCAGCCACATTTGGTGTTCAGTGCAGAATAATTTATTGAAGAAAGGAGGATGGGCCACCCATGCGTTAGATACAAGGCATGGCCATTCATGCATGTTACGAGAAAATTACTCGCTGCTATTTCACCTGCATCTGAAAGAGAAGTTGATCAACTACAAACACGTAGGAAGTTTGTGGGTAGTTTGTGGCCTTCAAATGTATTCACAGTTGGTTTTTCCTTTTATCTTCTCGTATGTACTCAGGATTTGAACCAGTCAAAATTGATTATGATAAAAAACTATTTTCATTTTTGTAATCCTTGCTACGCATGCACACTTGCATTTATGACGTGAATTCTTTATTCTCATGATTATTAATAGCTGGTGCTGGACCTAGTAATTGTATAAGGAGTGGGCCGCAGGGATTGACCAATATACATCATGTTTATCATGCTTACCTCATACTGCTGGGGATACTGTGGTTAACAGCTTTCAATGGTCGACCCTTGATGCAATTTGGTTCCTTGAAGAGGCATAGGTGAATACCTCACCATGAGTCTGGGACTCAATGGCAAAATGTGTGCTACTCACTCGAGCGGACAGATGTGACCTTGGGCTATAGTGGGGGACCACTATCCTAAATAGCATGGCAAAGTGGGTATGTGCAGTCACCAATTCCTGACGCTATGGTTACAAGCTTAGGACCCTAGGTCTGGGTGTCTAGCAGAAAGGATGAACTACTACGTCAATTCAATGCATTAAGCTCACAGATTGCATCGTGCAAGAAAGGTGGGAGTTGGGTAATGGTGAGCCTCGTCTGTTGGGATTCACTAGATTGAGACTAGAGCAGACATGATGCCATCTGTTTTATGGATAATGTCCATGGTCTGAAAACTGGCATGAGTAATATGTCTTTATAGTAGGAAGGAACACACATGTCGGTCCATCTATTTGGGATTAAATTGAGACCATATCAGACATGACACCATTGGCTTGGATGGATAACATGGATGCTCTGAAAACAAGCATGTGTTACATGTCCTTATAGTGTGAAAGAATATGCATGTTGGTCCATCTAAGCCCTAGAGTTTTTACAATGGTTTGCAGAAACTGTCAAGTTAGTTATATCCATATTGAAAACCTAACATGTTTCAAAAACATGGTTTAATACAAAAAGGTATTTGGTAATTTACCATAGTGCCAAATTAGTATAGAATTTCTACGAATTATTTTCTCCAACTATCGCTATTGTTGTGGAATTTTATTTTCACAGTTCCTTGATATACAGGGAAGTTTGGTGTTTAGTTGTTCTAGCGTTTCTAGGGACTATTGTTGGGTATGGTGTGTTTTTCTGAGTTAGCTCAGGAAGCTGTGTAAATAATGTTTGGGGGGAAAGATCAGATTGTGAGATGAACTTATGCATTTAGGAACATCCTTATGTTTTGTGGGATTGCTAAGGGTAGGGGCGAGGTACAATCGTAGGACGACAGCTGCAGGCTGCCATGATATTATATAGTGAATCTAACAAGATCTTGCAACTGATGTTGGACCTTGATTGAGCAAGACTTAAGACATCAGATGGAGACTTATTTTCAGGTAGGTCTATCTTTTCTCAAGAGACCAGGGGCACTTCGGTCCTTATGTTTACGCTCTGATGTGAGTTAGAGACATCAGAAAGAGGAAAAAGGAGGTGAGCCAAACCCCAACTGCTACATTTGCAGATCTGAAATAAGACCAAAACCCACGCTCTTCACGCACAAGTCCAAATTCTCACGAATACAAACTTGAACATCATCAATCCAGCTATTTACTTTGAAGTTCTTTAGCTTGCTGGCTTTCTATTTACACAGTTCAAAATCACATTCACTACATATAGTAAATGGTTAGTTGGTTACTAGTACCAAAACAAGCCCTAGGGCTCATGTGCCAAACCCCAGTTGGTAGAAGACAATAATTCTTTTATCTGTGGATTCGAAATTGGATTTAAACAAGTAGACAATAAAAATTAAAAGAGAATGTTGTGATCTGTTAGGCACTCCATTTGTATAGTTCTTTTCTATTTTCATATTCAAATCCTGAGAATTAGATAAGCTTGTAATTTGATTGTCTTCATGAATTTAAAGCGGGATTGTATTAAGATCAATTAATATAGTTTTGAATCTAAGCCTTACATGTAAAAATGCAGCAATAATAATTGATAATGGTTTCAGATTTTCACCATGAAACATAAGTTGCTGGAATTTATCTCTATGTATTTTTTAAATTTTGTAATATGAGATCATGACTTTTTGAAAAGATTGCGCACTGAGGAGAATTCAAAGGTATGAAAATAATTTTGTATAAATCACAGAATGTTAAATTTTACATTTCATCTGCACTGGCATAGTGAGACTCAGATTTATAAGAGATCTATCACCTTAGTTTTTTTTTCTCAGGACTCTCATTCAAATATTGACATATGAATGAGAAAATGTGATCTTGAAATCTAAAATTAAAACAATAAAAAGACTATATTGTCAATCTTGTAAAGTCATATTGTTGGGTAAAAATAATATATTGTCGATATTGTAAAGTCATAATGTTGGGTAAACTGCACGATATAAAATTAACCATGCACACTACATGGTGCTCTCCATCAGCAAAGAGCATTCATATTATTAGTGCACAATGATGGAGTTGAAGAAATCGATTGGGCTCCCTCTCAAGATGGATACTTCTCTCTCAAGAATACCCACGAGATGATCGGAGAGCATGAAAATTGAAATGAGCACTAAAAACATCGATGGAAAAGACTGATCTACCCTAATGCCTCCTAGTGTACTTGGCTAATATACACGAAGAGAGACTACTCACAAATGACATACTCCAAAGATGGGACCTCTTGGAAAACATATGCTATTTATACCAAATTGAAAGAGAGATCTATGACCAGTTGTTCAGCTCATGTAGTTTCGCCCACCACCTTTGGTAAACCATGGTGTGCAAAATGTAACAAGGTCAATATAGAGCCTAATAGCACATTGGTTCCAAAATAAACTCTCAATCAAAGTTTTTGACAAATTATGGAAGGTCTATCTCCCTACCACAATGTGGGAATGAAAGAGATCCATAATCAATCAATCCATCAAAGCATACCAGTGAAAGAAGTTACATGAAAAATCTGTGGTGGCATCCCTGATTCCCACATATCTTCTTGGAGGAATGATCTTAAGCTTCTTATTTACAAGAGATGGGATTTGTGCTCCTCACACTGAGAGCTATAATTGTGTATTTTGGTAGGCTGTAGTGTGGACAATTGTATGTTGTGAGTTAGTGGAGAGCACTATATGTTTTAATCTGATCTGGTACATTTCCTTTTTCCCTAGTTCACACATTAATAAAACGAGTGGGTGCCCCCTAGCAAACATAGAGGGGGGAAAAAAAAAGAAAAGCATGCATAACGAGTACTTGTACCTGCATGTATATATGTTCTCAAACTTTATCAGGATTCTTACAAGATCAGACAGAGAAATTCTAGGAAAGGAACAGCTGGATCCTCTAGCTTTGTATTCTAAGGTGTATGAAAGTAACCCAGTTAACCCTAGAATTTGTCAATTTACCTCTGTCGAATATCTAAACAAAATTATTTGAGAATGTAGCATATCTGGAGTGATCAAATGTGGAAGCAGTGAGATGAATCAGTTCTGTATTAGAGCAGATGTAATCTAATTATGCATAATGTCTATTAAGAGATTCTGAGCTATTGAAGATATGTGACTAACTTATGGAGCTTGATTTCCTTGAGAGTTCCACTAAATCGCTAGAAGTTCTGGGCAGCAGGCCATGAATGTGTTTATGAGCAAGACAATAGGCCGTTGAATGTTGGACAATATAAAAATACTATTGGAACCATAGACCATTAGACATCTCCTTTGCTCTGTACTATGGATGCCAATGAGGCCACAAACACCCTAATTGGAGAGAAATTATGCACAAGGACTAATCCATTACTCATCCCAAGAGTTTTATCAATTGTATACTTAGCATAAAGGATAATTTTACAAAAGGATTAATCTCTCTTAATCAATTTACTAGATTTTCTTTTTTTTTTTGCCCTTCTGCTAGGCAATTGACTAGTTTCACATCTAGAGTATGAGCATCTGCAGTAAAGGATGTAACAGTGTCTGATAAAAGGTTACAAAACGGTACTATTTTGAAAGAAAGATTATAAAATAAGCATCACTCAAACCTGATGCAAGAGATTTTGATGTGTAAGCATGACACCTTTTGGAACGCCCGTTGTTCCACTAGTATAAACAAGGGTTGCAATATCTTTTGGGTTAATAGCTACATATCCATGAGAGTGACCTGCAAAAAAACAGGGAATCATAGAAGTTTAGCTACTCTAACAATTCTAATGCAATAGAAGAGGTTCAAAGACAAACAATTCAAGGAGAATGCCATCCCGACATTCAACTTCACATCCATTGAATAGACAATAAGCAATTTTGATGAGTATAATTACTGAGAAGAACTTAACAGAAATATTCACCATTCAACAACATAGTACGAGTATAATTACTGAGAACTTACAAGAAATATTCACCATTCAACAACATAGTACAGAATATAGGATAAATTTATTAATCCCTACTGATATGATATATTTAATGAAAAAGGCAAGGATCTTACTTTCAATAATTATGGATCGCAACTACAAATATCCTTCAACTGAAGGAAGCTTACATTTGAGTAGAAGTCCCACACCCAATTGAATGCTCCAAGGCAAATGCATTGCAATTCCTCAGAGAAAACATCTATTCGCACATCACAACTCCCACTCCCAATATTCATGCGGTAGGCCATACATCTCTTAGTTCTCAATAGGTGAAGTCATAAATTCCTAGAGGGAAAATATAAAGGAGGAATATTTGTTGCATCACAATTCTAGAGCATCAGTTGGATATGAGGGATAGTGCCAATATATATGTAGATCCCTAGTTAATGACTTAGAAAGCAAATCTAGAAACTTTTACTTTGAAGTAATGACTGTAAAATTCATGACACAATCAATGAATCTCTCTGATGATATTGCAATCCACCTCGATGGGTTTGGCCAAGTCATGGAAGAAAGTTTAATGGCTATATTGATGGCACTGATGTTGTTTCCATGAGAAGTCCATTTTGTATTACTAGAATTATCAGATCTGCTAAATGAGCTCTGTAGAGGCCGCTTTTATGGCAATGAGTACATTGCATTGGAAATGGATATCATGTCATATGTTATGTCTTTTCTTGGGCCTGGATGTCTAACTGGCAAGACACAGACAATAGTAATGATCTCTTTCAAACTTATCCAGCTCAGTTACAATTTCAAATATGCAACCAGTTTGGATCTGCAATCTGCTTCTGCACTTGATCTGGATACAAATGACTATTTCTTACCCCTCCAAGTTACAAGATTACCTCCAACCAGAGTACAGTAACCTGATGTAGATCTAATCAGCATCTAAGCGAGGGGCAACCAATAAAGGTAGCAGAGTTGAGCAATAACCTTCAGCTTGCAAGTGGCCATGATTTGTAAATTGCAGTCCTCTACCTGGTGATTATTTCAGATATCTACGAACTCTTACAGGCCTCAATATGAATATTTGTGGAGCATGTAAGAACTGATGGAACTGAGTTCTTCAATTTACGAGGATCTACCAGTTCCCAAGTACCATTCTCGATTAATGCTTCACCTCCTTGGACATAGCCTCATTCTTCTTTGGATGAACTAAAGCTTCTGTAACACTAGAAGGAATAGTAATCGAAAACAAAGATAAGAAACAAAATTGTTAATTAGGCATGCAATACAACTTGGTCAACACTTTTTTACAACAATGGGCAGATCCAAGTCATCACACAAAGAATTGTTTGGATCAAAGGTATGTAATTGGCTTTGAAGCCTCTCAGCTTTGGTGGGCTCTACTTCTTTTTGTTGTTGTCAAGCATAGACTATCAATTTTTTCCTTTTTCAACATCATAAGATTGCCCTCCACTGTCCTTCTCAGCTCTAGAATCAGGAAAAATAGGAATAGGAAGAGAATCATAAGACCTCTCTTCCACACTATGCTCCCCCTAAAGAGAGGTAGGAAAGAAGGACTCGACTCAAAGAAGGTGACATCCATTAAAAAAACCTTCTTCTCTGAGATTGGATCATAACAACTATAACCTTTTTGAGAGAATGAACAAATGCTAAAAATACATTTTACAGACTTGGGAATCCAACATTGTATGGTACAAACAAAGGACATGACCGAAGCAAACACAACTGAATACTTTAGGAGGAACACTAAAATGGACGATCATGGTGGACAAGTTTATATGAAGATTTGTAGCCTAGACTATGAGACAACATACAATTGGGAAGATAAGATGGAATGAGCACAACTTCGGACTAGAATTTCTTGGTAACATTCATTCTCAAGAGAAGAGCATGACCAACCTCCAAAAGATGTATCTTCTTCCTTTCAGCCACCACGTTGTCATGGTGTGTATGAGCAAGAATATTTATGTTCTATTCCTGTTCTTCCAAATAGGATAGCAGCTCACCATCACAGTACTTTCGACCTCGATCAGATCTAAACAGCTTGGTTTTATTTTCAAATAGAGTGTGAATGAAAGACCATGAAGATATTAGGAATTTAATCTTCGGTCCAAATAAGGGAGATCAAGGTACATTAAGAGTAATCAACCACAAAATAAACAAAATATCAATAGCGGCAAATAGATGTAATAGGACAGGGACCCCACATATCAGAATTGACAATAGTAAAAGGATCAATGCTTTTGTTATTACTATGTAAAAAAGAGTCACCAAAATGTTTTGACACACCTCACATTGAAATTCTCACATACTAGTAGAAATGAAAAACTCAAGAAACAAAGCTTTCAAGGACCGAAAGGACAAATGAACAAGTCAAAAGATGGCACAAACAAATCCAATCATTATTAGCACTTGTGCTAGACTGGATACTTGAGAAGTAGTAGTACGCAAATCTAGTACTATCTAGAGACTACTAGCTTCATCACCACTACCAAATGTCTTCCTCATATTGAGGTACTAAAAACACAGTGGAAAGGAAAAGAGATCACACTAAAATTTAGATTTTAAGTAATGCTACCAACAAACATTAAGTACATAGCAAAGCTGGGAACATGAAGAACTAATGACAACGACAAATGAGGAGAAATATTTACAGTTCCTTTTCTAGCGATAGAAGAGAATGACCAATCAATAATCTTAACTTTGACTTTATTGGTATAAAGGGAATACGAGGAATACAAGGAAGACATACCGGTCATATGATCTAAGGCTCCAAAATTAATAAATCAAGAATGTCCAGATGGATAAAGAGAGACATGATGAGCATAAGCATGAATACCTAAGTGAGTAAAAGATAAAGTACAAGTACTGATGAGCCATCTAATTGGGCAAACAGCCGGCGAAGGCTCAATCTCATCTTTAAGAACTAATATCATCTAATTCATAGCAGAAGGTGGAAGTTGGGCAGCATTCGGCAATGGTTCATCAATACTACCAATTGTTGGACTTCCAGTGGAGGAAGCATTAAAATGTCCAGGAAAAATAAATTTGGCTGGCCTACCAACTAGATCCTAGCAAGTTTCTTCAGCATGGTCATTTCTTCTACAATGACCATATATCAACCTAATTGTATCTCCTTTACTTGGACCCCTTTTCCAAATTTCTGATATCCACACTTCTACAAATGAACATTCTAGCAGATTGTGATATGTCCCATCAAGTTTGACAACTGTAATCTGCAATCCAGGATTTTCTCCATGAATACCCATATGAGAAATTACACTTGGAGTGCTAGAGATGGTAGAAGAGTTGTTGGAATGTCTACTATAAGACATGCCAACGAGAACACAACTCATACACACCAAAAAACCACATTGATGAAGCAACTCAAATCAACATCCCATAGGCATCCGAGAACATCCATAAAAGAAATCCCGAGAATAAATGATGTGGGAAACTCGAAGAAACAAATTACATGAATCTCCCCATAGGGACCTGTGAACCTCTCTTTTATTCAACACTTTAATTACAAATTTAATAATGCCCCTAACCACAAATAAAATGACTAAAACAATCCTAACTTAAAAGTCGTAATGACAATTTTATCTCTAATAAACAAATTATTCCATACACACTCCAAGTACTTTTCTACACAACTCCTAAAGATCCTAGAAATATAAAAATCCCTTAAAATCGTAAAATTAAAATTAAAATATACATCTCTTGAAATTGAATAAAAAAAAAAAAAAGAATAATTTTGGTCCTACATCAATCTCCCTTGGTTGGAAAAAACTTGTCCTTAAAGTTTTGAAGCAGGCTAAGATGAATCCAACATCAAAACCACATTCTTCCACCTTGTTCTTTGTTGGCTCAATAACTATTCATGGTAAGAATAAATCCTCGAGAAACAAATGTTTGTATTTATTGTAAGGAATTAATATAAACTTACCAAATTCGACAATCCCTAAAATTGCTTTGAATGTTGAGTAGGAAACCTCAAACCCAATTTTCTGACATTTAAAAGATTTCTCGACATCTCTTTCAGTACTCTCTAAATCCAAGGCCACAAATAGTGGTTTATGAGTCAACCACACGACCCCTACACTACTCTAATTCCAATACGCTGAATCTCTTGAATGCTCAATCTTTATAATAACCTTTAGATCTTCAAAGGTTATGATTTTGATCAATCCCCCTGCTGCCTTCCCTCCATTTTCTTCATGAGCAAAGACCCTCTTCCTAAATATCTTCATCTTCATCTTGATCCTTATCATAGATCAGATGCCCTAAGAGATCTTATTGTTCATTTGAGCATGTCTCCAAGATTGGTGGCAAATCCCAATCTAGAACTAGCTGATTTTGGATACAACCTATGTCAAAATCAAGAAACTACTTCAAATTGAAAACCTGGAGTGATGTCAAAATCAAGAATGTCCCCCATGTCTAAGTCTTCTATAACTGTCCTCTTCACTCAACTCTTCATGTGTACCACGATAGTGAAAAGCATTAAATTCAACACTTTCATGGGCAGAAAGATCACCCTCTTGCCCATGAGTGATCTCTGTGAGCTGTTGTGCAAGCTGCTGAATTTACCTTCAAAGGGCCTTCAATTGCCTCATCTTTGGGATCAGGAAGTAGGGCTAAAAATGCCTCCCCTTCCATGGCCTCTTCTCGCTACCATGGGCTCGCCAAAATCACAAACTCTAGGCAAAGAATCGACAACACATTGGTGAACCAGCCAGATCTAGGCTGAATTTGGAAGAACCTGATGGAAAATCAGTAAACCCTAGACTCCAAGCCTTGTTGTTGAAGAAACCTGAGCTCTAATAACAAATTGATATAGGAATATTGAAGGCAAACAGAATTCAACACCAATGATAGAGGCCAAACACAACAGCTAGTGGAAGAACCCTAGGGTTTCTACTTAAAACCCTACTAAGGGCTTCAAAAGCCTGGAACTTTTCTTTATGTTTCTCTGAAACAAATCACGTGAATCTCTCCATAGGGATCTACGCACTTCTCTTTTATTCAATATTTTAATTATAAAGTCAATAATTCTCCTAAGAAAAAATAAAATCGCTAAAACAATCCTAACTTAAAATAAAACTTACAATGACAATTTCACCCTTCACAAAACAAAATATTCTACAAACACTCTTAAGTACGTTTTTAAACAGGTCCTAAAAATTCTAAAAATATAAAAAACCCAAGAATTCCATAAAACATTAAAGACCCTAAAATTAATATTAAAATCTATATCCTTTGAAAATCATCATCATCATCATCATCATCCGAGCCTTATTCCAACTATTTAGGGTCGGCTACACGAATCTTGTTCCGCCATATTGCTCTATCAAGGGCTATGCCATCAATCAGATTATAAGTCCTATGAAATTAATTAAAAAGTTAAAATTAGAATAACTGTCTTGCAATCAATAAATGAGTCTCACAACTAAAAAACAAGGGGACGACATGTTTAAGTGGTGCAACAACTGATTATGAAGCCACCGAATCATCTCAACCAGATCTAGGACTCTAACCCAACATCAAAACTTGGGGAAAAAATAGAAAGTAACTATGCAATCAAGGCTTTACATATGGTACTTATTTTTAGACTTAGGGTTTCTAACCAAATAGCTAATGAAGATACTTGTGCAATCAGATCACATCATTAGGGTTTCAAAAACCTATGCCCAAGTCTGTTGACCTGATACCAAGTTAAAAATGCAGAAACAAGGACAAAGGAGAAAGTATAGAGAGAGAGGAGAAGAGATTTAGAGATACAAGAGTGAGAGCTGTGTTGTGCAGAGAGAAGGTGTCGCACATTAGTTCCTACATCACCCAAATACCCCTCCCAATCTTATTCATAATGACAAACTATAGAAGGTAGAAAAATGGCCTTAAGTATGGGAACAGGATGAGCAAGTCCTCAAGGACTTAAATACAAAAAAAATAACAATAGGCTTTGACGTTCAACAGGTTTTACTTATCACATCGAAAAAGTTTTACTTGTCAGAAAAATGGGAGGTTCTGTAGTAAATGATGACAGGCTTGGTTGCTAGTAGTCCTACTCTCAACCCTTCAGTTTTAGGTTTGAGAAACAAAAATTCTCATAGCAAGAAAAAAAATCAGCCAAGTAGAAAAAACTATAGACAGTATAACCATTCAAACTTTAGTTACTTTCCCTAGATAAAGTCTGTGATGCGATATAGAAAAATGCGAGCTGTCACCTTTGTAGGAAGCGAGCAAACCACGACTTTTTTGTCCCAAATTGATGATCTCCTTGTAACTGTAAAGTTGCATTCCATCCATTAATTGACTATCACAACTAGATTTTTCACCCCACAATAGGACAACAAATCTCATCATTGCCCTTGAACTAAGAGTTCTTGCAATCTTGTTGAACAAATCTGGGTTGTCAACAATAAGTGCAACACTGCAAATATAAAACAAGAGAAAAGGAGAAGCATCAGTAAAATAGCTTTAATCCACTTCTATAGAAGAAAAATCAAATCACATAAACAAAATAACATATTGCCCTGTTATGCAGAGTCCTGCAAAATTGAGTATATCTGGGAAGGAAACAATCATAGTAGAGCTACAGAAAACCAGCTTCTATACAAATGAAGGGAACATTTATTAAAATTTGGACAATGGCTCCCAATCTCTAACACTCACAAGAATAACAAGGGCATAGAGATTTATTCTTTAGACTGACTTCTATTTGATCTATGTTACATGTCTGCAAGTGAAATACCCGATAATACTGATTACACATTCTACAAGTTGAAAATGACTTTGATAATCATGGAAAAGCCACTACTGTTAAGCTCTCAATCATCTTTGACTAACTTTTACTCCTTGGGCTGACACTATATGTCCCAAAAGGCATGTCAAATAAAGAAAACCTTAAATCTAATGAGTGATAGATAGAGAAAATCCAAGTATGTTCCAAAGGATGGAGCATAAATGCTTTTGCTTCATTACACATGCAAGGCTTTCTCATATGGGATATACACACTGTGCGATACAAAATAACCATCATCCACTATGTTAGATGTGATTGCAAGGCTGCTTTTAGGTTAATGGCAGAAATTCAAAGTATCATCATAAATGAAATAGATAAAAATACAATAAGGGACAATCCTGTCCATGTTGATCCATTAGAAACATACATAAAAGATGAACAAAACTTAAAGAGAATTTCAATTCCTTGTTCAAAGAACTACAAAATAGAAGGGCGGATACAGAAACAAAACCAGAAAACTAACCTCTCAGAGTGGGTATATATTTGTAACAACTCTTCCACAGATGACCTTGATCCTCGAACCACATTTATTGCACCAGTTGCCATAGTGCCTACAAGATAAGCCATGCACATGCACCAATACTCATACAGTCGCCAATTAACAAAGTAAGGTATAATGTGGATAGATTTGATAATAATGTAGTGCAGAATGTAAGAATTTAATGTGAGTGTTTATAACATCAAAATAATCCAAGAAAATACATTAGTAATAATTAAAAAATATCACAACCAACTTACAAGTGCATTAGGGAACCTGCAGCCTTTATTATACTAAACTAAAAAATAAGAGATAAAGAGATGCATGGTGAAGCTATTTGTATAAAAATGTATCTTAATTTCCCTTCACAAGTGCATAGTTCTTCCATCAAACAACAATCAAAAGGCATTAAATAACAAGAAGGAGATGATTCCAAATTTCATCTTTAAACATCATAGCAGTATTCACAAGAAAATGCACTAAAAAAGGTCAATCCAGAAAGGATACATGCTGAAGTTATTTGAATGAAAATTATATGACATGTACCTGTAAATGACAAATATAACACCTATGGAAGAACATCATATCATTCTATAAATTTATTCGCATGTTTGAAAGTTGGAAGGATAAGTGTATATCTTCTGATGTATCATAAAGGAACCTGTGGAAATAAAAATGGTAGTAATTGTCGTATATACATCCATTTCTTGTAATCCTTAAACGCTAACAGGAAACCAATACCACCAAATGATTCATGGCTCATCATTATAGCCTTGAAAGTATCAGACTAGTTCTCCTTGTGAACCCAGTAGAGGAAATAGGGGAAGAAAAGGAATAAGAAGAAGAAAGAAAGAAAATGAACAAAAAAATCAAGGATTGAGTAAAACCAAACGAAGGAAAAAGTAGAAGCTGAAGTAAAGCAAAAATTGGAAGATGGTGATGAAGAAGAAAAGCAAGAAATTAAGCAGCATACAGCAGACTCCTCAGCTGTATGCATTTGAGGATCACATGCAGCGCTCCATTTAGCGATTTTTGTCTGAGATGAAATTCAGGGTCCACTTCATCTCCACTTTTCAAATATTCTAAGAGAATTTTCTTATTCTTCATGAACAAGATTTAACCATATCCCTTTCAACTGAAATCTGTGGGGAACTTTAAATTTCTCCTTGTGTGCTCTATGAAATGCAAAAACATCGGATATCTCTAAAATGTATGTATCACTTTATAAACATGATCCTGAATTTTGATCGCATTCGAAATATTATCAAAGTCTCTGTCTCAGGAAGCTGACATTTTTCAGCCTATTTTCTCAATTTCTTTTTCATCTAAGCTAAGTTTTCTTTAGTAACCTTAGGTCATAATGCTCATATATGTCATAGGGTATTCTTATTGTCTTATTGTATATTGTTCGAAGGTAAACTAGGCTATTCCCCTCGTCAGGTGTATTTTAGTCCTTCATTCTGTGTTGTATAAACAAGTTGTTGTACACTGCTAGAGTTATTACTGAGATCATTTTCTTTCAGCTCTCTAGAATTGTAGAGTGATCAATTTTCTCCAAATTAATGAGATGATTTTCTTTCCAGCTCTCCAGTATCTTGAGGAGACCTATCTTCTTCTCCAAGTCAACAATATCCACTATAGATGTTAGGAATTACAAGAAAGAAAAACTAGGTGGCATGAAGAAACATCTAACCACTAATTGCCAAAAACTGGAGCATGTTATTAATTAAAGTTGGAATGAAAAAGGAAACAAATCCTCCATATCATTCATAGAATATTATGCTGCTGACACAAGTAAAAGAGGACACAAAGAAAGTCCTCAAGTTGCTCAGGATTTCTTATAGGAGTTGATTGGTCAAAACCAACAAGTTAGGGCATCCTAGAATAAGCCGTGCATTCTTCAAAGTAATTACACATTTACTCTATCATTCATGCTAAGAAATCTGTTTCCAATTTCACGACTTGGATTTCTGTTTCTGGAGTTTCCAATCATATGTCAGGGGTAATATCATCTTTTCTCAAATGACATTCCAAAATCTCATAAAATGCCAAAATCTCATTAGTTGATTGCTTTTTTCTTTTTTTCTTGGATGAATAGTTGATGGTCATCTTGCCACAGTTGTAGGTAACAGAAATGTTCTGATATATCATTCCGTTAATTTGTTGGAATATTCATGTTTCAATGCTAAATGAAAACCAAACTATATGTTAGACACTAAAGTAGCTGTTAGAACATTGCTTTCATATGAAAGTTATGCCAGGTTCTTAGTTCTCAATTTTCCTAAAAAAAATTATGGAAATGACCCTTTTATAAGAGCTTATCTCAAAGACAGTGAGATAGTAAAAATACCCCACTTGAGCCAAATGTGAAGAACTGTTAGACATCATGTTCTCTCACACTTGTCACCGATATTTTCTGGATGGACCTTGTGGAAATAAAAGAGAAGATATCAAGCACATTATCCATGTTGACAGTTAGTTCTTGACAACCAGAAACCACTTATGGGTTTAGCACAAGGGGTTCTTAAACATGCCCAAACACCCACATATCATTACAGAAGTCATCATGTAACACCTTAGTCATCAATGGAGCTCAGCTTATTCTCATTCAAATTGGTTTGGTTGTCCGAACCCTTGAAGATCCACAACTTTACATATTCCTTGACTCATCATTCACTTCTGGTAAGTGTAAAAGCATTGCATACTGGTTGTATACTGGTTGTGACAATCTTGACATAGGACATAGAAGAGTGCTACTTTCTAAAATTTCTAGCAAACCAAAGAAAAATAGCATATCTTAAAAGAAAAAATTGTTCATGTAACAAGATGGTGCTCCAGAAACAGTTCAAATGGAAGAAAAGTCAGCAAATTAGAATTTGCCTAGGGTCATTTCTAGGACTTTACACTGCCCATGCAATCTCCCCGAACCAATGGCACACCTTCTAGAATGCAAGTAACCTTCCACTTGGTTTTCAAAATCTTGCAGTGAGGCATTATAGGTTGCCTGGCCTTCTTGCCCTGTAGATTTCTAATGGGAAGAACAGTCACTGCCTTACCCAACCCTCATACGCATGCATTCTCTTATCTCTTTTTCTCTGACTAAAACCCTCTGGGAAAAAGCCATCTCTCTCTGTTTTGAGTGAAGAAAACAATCATGGAGTTACATGTTGCACATGCCCTACCTCTCTCTTGGAATCTCTCAACAGGTAGCTTTGAACAAACCCTAGGCCACTCTCACCCTCATGCACCTCCCTGTTTTACTCTCTTTCTTCTCACTCACCCCCTTGCCCTAAATGGTTGTCTACCTCTATCTTTTGACGTCAGATTCTGTGGGCCAGCCCCAAGGCCCTCTACAGGATGCCCTAGAGAGAGATGAATATGAATAACTTGTATTAAATATGTATAGGTTCGCCTATTTATAGAGCAGTTTAGGAGTAAAGTGGATATAAAGGGAACTTGTCATCCAATTCTAATAGGAGATAAATGGTATGAGAGGGCTAATCTTAATCATTCATCCTTTGCCCATCTCTATCATGATTCAGGGGTCGTTAATGAATCATTACCTCTACAAGGATTCCTAGTTCTTATACTATTCCAAATTTATGATAAGTTTCAGCAAAGTTTTATATTAGCTGCCTACCTAATACAACCCAACACCTTTACTCGGGTATGGGACGGGTTAAGAGAAAGTTTAAGGTCCTCACCCTTCTTAGACCTACTCTTCCAATTTTATTCGGAATGAAATAGAATCTTCCTAACTTCCATCCTTCTAATTGGATTTCATTAGGAACTCCAATTAGATTTTTAATTCCCTCTAAAATTCCTAATATTTTTTAACCACCAAAAGATATTCCAAAATATTTTCTTTCCACCAAGGATTTCTTGGCATCTAGAAACACTAGACACCACATAGAGCCCCACACAACCCTAGGACACATAGAGCACCCCCTTTGACCTTTTGATTGCCACGTGGAACCCATGGCTACTGAGGGATCACATTGGTCAAACGTTCAAAGCCGTGTGACCCACATGGACAATAAACCATAGTTATGGGGATTGGGAGATGGAGTGGAATCAAGATCATGGCACCGTGATAAGCTAGAAGCTCCCTATGGTTGGGATCGTTTTTCGCACACCATAAATTTTAGGGATCTCAATCCCAATATGTGGGGAGCTGGATCACAAGCTTTTCAGGATAGCAAGGTAAATTCTACATGTTCAAGACCCATCTGGTAAAAGCATCTCTTTCCTCTTTGAAAAATACATAGAACATGATTTTGTAACATAATTTTTTTTTTATTGGATATACATTTAAGACTTATTTCTTTATAAAAGATTAATATAACATGATTGGGATTTATATCGGCGGCTCCCTAAGGGATTGTTGGGATCATGTTCTTGCAATATGGGAGCGAGACCCACCGAAGGTCTACCTCCAGGAGCGTGAGATCATGGGGATGCCACCAATCGGGTGATCCCAATAAATATGCAAAAAATTGTGTTTCACAGTGAGTGAACCATATACCAATGTATAATATGCTCCATACTAGTTCCCATGCAACAAATAATAATACCAAGTATACCCTTAATTTGAAACAAATATTTTAATCCAAAAAGATCCTTTGATCAAATAAAAAATTCACTAGACAATATTCAAGTGGCTAAATATAGAAAATAAGAACATTTTAGTTTCCTAAAAAAGACCTTTGGAAAACCTCAAGAAAACAACTGGATGAGCATGTTAGCACAGAAACCAAATCCTTTTATAAGGTGCTCCATGATTACCCTAAGACCACTTCTAGACCTCAAACCATCCCAATAGACTCATGACCCACATGTCTCCCATGCATCGGGCTCATGATTGACCTATCGTGGCTAGTCGGCATAAAAGTGCACGGGTCTGAAAAGAGCCACAGATTTCAGGAGCTCTCCACAAGACAAGTTTAGGAATGCACCGACCAAAAATAATTAAAACGAGAGTTCCCAAGTTTCCTCCTTGTTCAAGGAAGTGCTCTGAGGCACATGCATGCTAACTGTCACACAGATCCAACTGAACACTACGATCACATAGAT